GGGCGGCCCTCTCTGAGGTGCCTTCGGTCAGCGTTCAAGATCAAGAACCCAGAGGCAGAGAGGAATTCCGTCCTCTCAGTGAAACAGTGGGATAGTCGGGGCAACTGTAGAGGAGGAATGTGCACTTTGGGTGCCAGCACCCATGAGTTAAGGCTGCCCTGACTGAGCCTTGCTTGCTTGGGGCCTAGAGCACTCCTGCCGGGCAGCGGGTGACAGGACGTGCTTTTCCAAATTAATGAGAGAAAACATTGATTCTCCTGCTGCCCACGAAGGTGGAAAGTGAAGTGGGGAGACATGTGGGGAATCAGCAAGGTTCCCTGTCTGGGGGTTCCAAATCTGCTGTTGGTTTCTTTCACCACTGACGAGAGATATACAGGGTGTCCCCCCAAAATGTATACACACTTTGAATACCTACTAATTCCAATGGCTTTAAGCAAAAGAAAGGAACAACAATGGAGCTGTTATCTGTTAAAAGTGTGGGCACAAACAGGTAGTTGGACATTCCCTGAGGGCTCTCAGATTAGAGAGGGTAAAGGCCAGACTGAGGGGCCCCTTCTCCCCGCCTACCCCAGTGCACAAATTTTGTGCACCGGGCTACTAGTCTTTTTTATAATAGCCATTGTAACAGGTGTGTGGTGATATCTCATTGAGGTTTTGATTTGCATTTCCCTGATAATTTGTGATATTTGGCACTTTTTCTTGTTGGCCATTAATATGTCTTCTTAGTAAAAATGTCTATTCAGTTCCTCTGCTCGTTTTTTTTAAAATTGGGTTGATTAGGGTTGTTACAGATTTATATGTTCTCCTTATATATTTTGGATATGAACCCCTTATCAGATACTAGTGGCCCAGTGCACAAAATTTGTGCACAGGGATGGGGGTGTCACTCAGCCTGGTCTGCACCCTCTCCAATCTGGGACCCTTCAGTGGATGTCCAACTGTTGTACATCTCTCTCACAATCCAGGACCCCTGGGTCCTAACCACTCGCCTGTCTGCCTGACTGACTGCCCCTAACCACTTCTGCCTGCCAGCCTGATTACCCATTAACCGCTCCCCTGCCAGCCTGATTGATGCCTAACTGTTCCCCTGCTGGCCTGATTGCCCTCAACTGCCTTCCCCTCCTGGCCTGATCACCCCCAAGGCTTTTATTAGTATAGATATAACCCTTCACATAAAATTTCACTAACCCTGCTTTATAATAAGGGCTTGACAATTGAATCATTGGGGCCAGACACCAAGATTTCCTTTCTTTGAATAGTGGAGGGAATAATTATCTTGTCTTTAAGTTGCCCTGAACATCAAATGAGATAATGACTTAGAAAAATATAAAAGCACCATATAAAGACAACTGTCTTTTTCATGTACTGAAAAGACAAAGTGATAAAATGTAAAACACTATTTTTATTCTCCCCCTTCCTTCTTTTACAGCCTTTATTTAAACTGTGAAATTTATAAAAATTTCAGTCCTATTTTCATGTCTTTACATTCAATATTATTTTGTATTAGTTTCAGGCTTTATATTAGTTACAGGATAGTGGTTAGACAATCATATACTTTACAAAGTATTCCCTGATACTTCCAGTACCCACCTAGCATCATACCGTCATTACAACACTGTTGACTCTATTCCCTATTTAAGTGACAATAGGTTTACAGGTTTCTTCCAATCTTTCTTTTATGTTGCTTGTCCTTCCTTTTCTTTCTCACTTCTTCCCTCATTTTCTTTATATCGTATCTCAATTGGCCCTCAAAGCTCAGGGAAGGCACTGGGACACGCTTAATCTATTTTACAGACCAGGAAACTGAGGACAATTCCATTTGGCTGCGGAACTGGACTCAGCGCTCATGGAGCCCTCACAGCCGTGCTAGCTCTGCCCTTCCTAAGGGGCAGCCTCAGGGCAAACAGAACAAACCTCCCTGTCAGGCTTCTGAACCTAGTTTTCAAGCACCTCTTCATCACAGACGCTCCACATTCTTTCCTCTCCACCACCCCGCCCCCATTCTTTACTGTCCCCCGCTTCTCCTTCTCTGGAGCAGGTGGTAGGCTTCCCACTCACCACACAGGCATGCGCCTCCCTGGCACAGGGCGGGCGAGGGCTTGCTTTTGGGCCGAAGCGGGAGCAGGAGACCCCTCCTCTGAAGTGAAAAAGCTGCCACCCGGGCGAGGCCAGGTTAGCACGGGGAGCTTCTCTGAATCACATCAGTCAGTTGTGTCAGTCAGTGGGGCACCTTGCAGTGCAGCACCCCTCCATTGAGGTGGCCCCACCCCTCAACCCCTGCCTCAGGGCTGTGGGTCCACGCTCCTCCGCCCAGGTGTCTTTCCATGCCCCTTGCTCCCTGCCCAGCCGACCCATGTCTTGGGGCCACTGCAAAACCTCGCTCCCCGCAGGCGAGGCAGATCCCCGCCCACAGGTCCCCTGCCCCAGGCCAAGCTCCCTCTGGTGCACCCTGCCTAGCCAGGTTTTTGCCTTTGATCTGTGGCATTGGTGACAGCACACTCCTAGCAAGCCTGGTACCCAGAGGGGCAAAGGGTCAGTTCTTTGCACAGAATGTTAGAGGTTGCAGTCGCATTTGCAGATGTCACCCAGAGCCTGCTGGTGAAGGCAGCGCCTCTGTGGGGTGTCCTCATAGAGGGTATTGCAGCGCTGCTCTGCACCCCTTGGCCCACCTGCCTCTTCGCCGGCACTCCCTCAGGTGGCCTGCAGTGGGCCTGGTGCCTCTGCTAGGTCTCCACCCTCACCTGAGTCATCTCCTTTCTTCCACATTCAGCCTTCATCCATCCCTCTCTCCTGCAGTGCTTGCGCTCCAGGCCCAAAAGAAAAGGACCAAGGCCAAGAAGGACAAAGCCCAAAGGAAGTGAATCTTGAACCCCCACATCCCATTCTCTGGATTTCCTCCCACGCCTCCTCTCTGTGTCACATTTTGAACGGGCACCCTGTGGCCCAGCCACATGGCCTCCGGGAGGTCTGGTAGAGTTGGTCTCATAAAGCTGTGGATCTGTGACCAGAGACCCACCTGGGTCTCAGCAACCCCATGCCTGCTGGAAAGGGTTTTTGGAGGAGGACTAAGCCTGTCAGTCATTAGCTCCCCAACTCCAGAGGAGGCACCACAGGCTCATGTCCTGGCTGGAGGCCCACTCCCCCCTCCCCCTTGTCCCCGGCCAACTCCTGTTATGGAGTCTTGGCCTAATTTGCATATTCCTCTCTTATTATATAGGATAAAAAAGTAACACACTGTGATAAGAGAAGAATGTGTACAGGCATTTCTAACCTTTTCGAAAGCTTAGTGCAATGTTGGAGCCCAGATGAACGCCCCCCTCCCCCTTGTCCCCGGCCAAGCAGTCATGACTGTTATGGAGTCTTGGCCTAATTTGCATATTCCTCTCTTATTATATAGGTTATGGATTGCTCCCATCCTAAAGATTGCCATTTCATTTT